TACCAACACAGCTGCAGAATATACTACCACTACAGTATACCCCCTTTGGTTTTACCAACATAGCTGCAGAATATACTACCACTACAGTATACCCCCTTTGGTTTTACCAACATAGCTGCAGAATATACTACCACTACAGTATACCCCCTTTGGTATTACCAACATAACTGCAGAATATACTACCACTACAGTATACCCCCTTTGGTTTTACCAACATAGCTGCAGAATATACTACCACTACAGTATACCCCCTTTGGTTTTACCAACATAGCTGCAGAATATACTACCACTACAGTATACCCCCTTTGGTTTTACCAACACAGCTGCAGAATATACTACCACTACAGTATACCCCCTTTGGTTTTACCAACATAACTGCAGAATATACTACCACTACAGTATACCCCCTTTGGTTTTACCAACATAGCTGCAGAATATACTACCACTACAGTATACCCCCTTTGGTTTTACCAACATAGCTGCAGAATATACTACCACTACAGTATACCCCCTTTGGTATTACCAACATAGCTGCAGAATATACTACCACTACAGTATACCCCCTTTGGTTTTACCAACATAGCTGCAGAATATACTACCACTACAGTATACCCCCTTTGGTTTTACCAACATAGCTGCAGAATATACTACCACTACAGTATACCCCCTTTGGTTTTACCAACATAACTGCAGAATATACTACCACTACAGTATACCCCCTTTGGTTTTACCAACATAGCTGCAGAATATACTACCACTACGGTATACCCCCTTTGGTTTTACCAACATAGCTGCAGAATATACTACCACTACAGTATACCCCCTTTGGTTTTAGCAACATAGCTGCAGAATATACTACCACTACAGTATACCCCCTTTGGTATTACCAACATAGCTGCAGAATATACTACCACTACAGTATACCCCCTTTGGTATTACCAACATAACTGCAGAATATACTACCACTACAGTATACCCCCTTTGGTATTACCAACATAGCTGCAGTACACCTACGTTAGTAGATCAGGAGATTGTATCTGGAGACAGTTGTGTTTTGTGCTTCCCTTTAACAGTCTAGTGATGGGTTATCCTGGATAATCAGTGTTTTGTCATAGCTTTAAAAGTACCTGAAACCATTCTGTGAAAAAAAAAGCGACTGTGTGTAAAGGTGAAGGTGAATGTAAGAAATGACACATTTGTTATGCACACACACACACACAAGTAGAGAGACACAGTGTTTCTCAAAATGCATACTACCGTGCTCCGAGCACGCAAATTGGAAGTCCAAATCAAAGTATGCGAAACGGAGCACGGAGGGCACTTCTCGAATGTGTACTCCGTTTGTACATATTTTGAAGCATGCATCGATGCAGGCTTCAACAAAAAGTATACAAAAAATATGACGCAACCACGTTAAAAAAAATGACGCACATTTTCTTGAAGTCAATGGTGGACATTATTTGAGCTGAAGCGGGAGAAAATACACTCCGACTTCGGAATGAAATGTTGCCCAATCACGTCTCATATGTTGCCTGACTACAGTATTTTATCTTGAGACGTTAATAAATACATGCTGTGTTCATTTTGGCATGGTTACCCGCCTACAATACCCACTGTAGTATGTGTAGGTTGCAAGCCCATAGTAAGTCAGTAGAGCTAACTGGCTAGCTACTACTGTTAGCTAGACAGATAGCCACGAAGAATTGTTAGCTAGCTACCCACAAAGAATTGCCATCTACCTTGGATAACATTGGGTTTAGAACATTTTTGCATGTTATACTATCTGGTTAGCTACATTATTACAATTAACATATAGCTAGCTGATAGTTATGAAGTAAAACGTTTGCTTTGTGTATATCCTGTTTCGTCTCTATTGCCATTGTCCTGGCAAGAAGAAGGAAGGTTCAATGAATGGGTAAGTCCATAGTAAGTCAATAGGGCTAACTGGCTAGCTAGCTAGCCACAAAGAATTGTTAGCTAGCTATCACAAATAATTTATATCTAGTGTACCTTGCATAACATTTGTTTTAGGTCATTATTGCCTGTTTAACTACCTAGCTGGCTAGCTAGATTACAATGATTCACACATATCTAGCTGATAATTATGAAGTAAAACGTTTGCTTTGTGTATATCTTGTTTCGTCTCTATTGTTGCCTTTGTCCTGGCTGGAAGAAGGTGAATGAGGAGATGCAGCGTGAGTTAATACAATAGGGCAGGGTTCCCAACTGGTGGCCCCCCCAAGTTTTCTGAGCCAAAAAATCTAAAAACATTAAAAATATACAGTTGAAGTCGGACGTTTACGTACACTTAGGTTGGAGTCATTAAAACTAGTTTTTCAACCACTCCACAAATTTCTTGTTAACAAACTATAGTTTTGGGAAGTTGGTTAGGACATCTACTTTGTGCAAGACACAAGTACTTTTTCCAACAATTGTTTACAGACAGATTATTTCACTTATGATTAACTGTATCACAATTCCAGTGACTGTGCCTTTAAACAGCTTGGAAAATTCCAGAAAATGATGTCATGGCTTTAGAAGCTTCTGATAGGCTAATTGACATCATTTGAGTCAATTGGAGGTGTACCTGTGGATGTATTTCAAGGCCTACCTTCAAACTCAGTGCCTCTTTGCTTGACATCATGGGAAAATGAAAAGAAATCAGACAAGACCTCAGAGACAAAATTGTAGACCTCCACAAGTCTGGTTCATCCTTGGGAGCAATTTCCAAACGCCTGAAGGTACCACGTTCATCTGTACAAACAATAGTACGCAAGTATAAACACCATGGGACCACGCAGCCATCATACCGCTCAGGAAGGAGATGCGTTCTGTCTCCTAGAGATGAACGTACTTTGGTGCGAAAAGTGCAAATCAATCCCAGAACAACAGCAAAGGACCTTGTGAAGATGCTGGAGGAAACAGGTACAAAAGTATCTATACTCACAGTAAAACGAGTCCTATATCGACATAACCTGAAAGGCCGCTCAGCAAGGAAGAAGCCACTGCTCCAAAATCGCCATAAAAAAGCCAGACTACGGTTTGCAACTGCACATGGGGACAAAGATCGTACTTTTTGGAGAAATGTCCTCTGGTCTGATGAAACAAAAATAGAACTGTTTGGCCATAATGACCATCGTTATGTTTGGAGGAAAAAGTGGGTGCTTGCAAGCCAAAGAACACCATCCCAACCGTGAAGCACAGGGGTGGCAGCATCATGCTGTGGGGGTGCTTTGCTGCAGGAGGGACTGGTGCACTTCACAAAATAGATGGCATCATGAGGAAGGAAAATGATGTGGATATATTGAAGCAACATCTCAAGACATCAGTCAGGAAGTTAAAACTTGGTTGCAAATTGGTCTTCCAAATGGACAATGACCCCAAGCATACTTCCAAAGTCCTGACCTCAATCCTATAGAAAATGTGTGGGCATAACTGAAAAAGCGTGTGTGAGCAAGGAGGCCTACAAACCTGACTCAGTTACACCAGCTCTGTCAGGAGGAATGGGCCAAAATTCACCCAACTTATTGTGGAAAGCTTGTGGAAGGCTACACGAAACGTTTGACCCAAGTTAAACGATTTAAAGGCAATGCTACTAAATACTAATTGAGTGTATGTAAACTTCTGACCCACTGGGAATGTGATGAAATAAATAAAAGCTGAAATAAATCCTTGTCTCTACTATTATTCTGACATTTCACATTCTTAAAATAAAATGGTGATCCTAACTGACCTAACACAGGGAATTTTACTAGGATTAAATGTCAGGAATTGTGAAAAACTGAGTTTAAATGTATTTGGCTAAAGTGTATGTAAACTTCCGACTTCAACTGTATATATATTTAAAAATATTCACTGTTGGACATAAGACTGAATAAAACCCACCAGAAAATCAGCTCCAATTGATTTTAATGTAAGAAATCTGTTCCCAAGTATTCCCACGCATAATAGAGAGACACATGATGGTATACAAATGTAAGCAAGGTTTTAAATGATTATGCCTTAGTCAAACATTATATCTGTTTGTGCTTCTTGTGGTCAATTTGCAAATTATTTGTAATTATGTTTCCGGTCCCCCGACCATCCACTCAACAAAAAATCGTCCAGCGGCTGAATCTAGTTGATGATCCCTGCAGTAGGGGCAGGACTTCTCAAATGTAATGTTTAATGCGTTCCCACTCTCGTCCTCACAAGAACGTACTCAAGAGAACGTCCTCTAAGAATGCACTTGGAGCATGAGAGTGTGGAGCACGGTAGTATGCCTATTGAGAAACACCCAAGGTGTTATCTCAGTTGTGAAGTTAAAGGTGTTATCTCAGTTGTGAAGTTAAAGGTGTTATCTCAGTTGTGAAGTTAAAGGATGCTATCTCAATTGTGAAGGTAAAGGTGTTATCTCAGTTGTGAAGTTAAAGGATGCTATCTCAGTTGTGAAGGTAAAGGTGCTATCTCAGTTGTGAAGGTAAAGGTGTTATCTCAGTTGTGAAAGTTAAGGTGTGTTTCTCAGTGAGTGTGATCAGAGGGCCTCTGCCTGACTGCAGCTGTCCATGGTGTTGAAGTGCTCCTGGTAGTGATCCTGAGAGAAGCAATGTCAGAGTGGCATTGACTAAAATACAGTAGAATACAGTATATACATATGAAATGAGTAAAGCAGTATGTAAACATTATTAAAGTGACCAGTGTTCCATTATTAAACTTTACCAGGATGAGGACTTGCCCGATATCAAGCTCTTTCTGAATGCCTAACCTCTGATGAAACAAGCTAAATGACATATTGTTTGCTTAGCCAGCTAGCTAGCTACATGCCAAATGGATAGTCTACTCTCACGTATCTGAAAAAATTATCAGTTGAAGTTTACGGATCATGAAAAGCATGCAGTTACTTGCTGTATAACTCAGATGGAGCTAAATGTGGAATAATCTGAAATGTGTAGTTCTGACTATGCTCTTCAAGAGGTGATGATATTAAAACCAAATAGTTCTAAAACATTTTTAACAATCCC